ATAGAATTTATGGGTATTTGTGATTGGTTATTGTGGTAGAAGTTGGATCCAGTGAGAGAATGCTGCATGTGACTTGTTTTACTTGAGGAGGCCATTGCACATCAGCAACCATATGGATGTTGGCAGAGGAGAAACCTGTGTCCATTGGCAAGGAGATCCAAGACAACTGTGGTTATTCTTTCACTACAGCCTTCATCCACCTTCTCAGCCTTTGAGAAGTATGCCTTCTTGATGCTCCTGCTCCACCACTGAGGCCTTTGTTATGTTGTGGTGGACTGCCCTTTGTCTGATACCTCACCTTTAACCTTACTGCCATGGGTGACCCTACCAGAAATACAAGATTCCCAATGGTGCTGCTCTCAGGGTCATCAGTAGCATTGTTAATCCACTGGTAGCAGGCCACACACAAGCACACACACACACACAAACATGCACACACCTACATATATGCACACATGCGTGCATGCATGCACACTTAAGAAAGATCCCACCTTCACACAAATTTCTGCACCATGAATTAACTACAAATGACCTTTTTAAGATATCTGTATTAACTGCCTAGATCAGCTCTACACTCATCACAATAGGCTGGGCAAGTATCATGCATAAGGAGGCTGATCAGATACCCCTTTTAAAAGGTAAGGAAGCTGAGACAGAAAGAAATATTAAATAGTATGCCCAAAGATGCAAATCACAGCTTTGGTAACAGAACCCAGACCTTCCAATCTTTTACTTTACTAAGACACTCTGCTTCTTCTTCCCTACTCCAGCAGCCTGAGTTACAACACAACAAAACACGGCAAAATATTAGTAAAACTCCTCTCAGCCTTAACAAAGATGAAAGCTATTTGAATCATTTATGGGCTGAAGAAAGAAAGGAAAGAAGGATTATGGAATAAGAGCTAGGTCTGATTTATTTTTAGAATGAGACAATACAAGCAACTGATAACATTGTCTAAAAATACAATTTGGGGGCTTTATACGCCTTGTTCCTCCTCAAAATTCTGACATTTTTACTTAAATATCTTTTTTCCCTTTCCATTTTGTACAAGGCAGCCTTCTGAAACACATTTTTTCCTTTTCATTTCAAGTAGAACAGTGGTTGTCAACCAGTAGTACGTGTACCCCTAGGGATACTCAAAAAGGGTCTGGGGGTACAAAGGGGCTCCTGCCACTGCACATGCCCCAGCTGAGGTTTGGGGGTCACATGCACCCCCAATCCATACATGGGGAGCAGAAAATTGCCGCTGCACACTGAGCTTTGTGCACCACTGCAGCTGCCTTGGGAGTTGTGCAATGCCACATGCCTGCCTCCGCTGAACTGTGTTGCACCTCCCCCTGCCCACCCGGCAGTGGGACACATGTGGTCCCAGGTGCACCACTCCCAGGGCAGCTGCAGCAGCGCACAAAGCCCAGCACACAGCAGCAGCCACCTCTGCCCCATGTACAGATTGGGGGGGCACGTACTCCCCAGGGCTCTGCTAGGATGTGCACAGAGGCGGGAGCCCCCTTGTGCCCCTGGATGAGCTTTTCAGGTTCTGATTGTCCCACAACCCAGCCCAGCTAGGGCCCCATTCACCCCAGCCCCTGCCCCTGCCCCTGTCTGTGCCCCACTCCCTCCCTCACCATGGAGGCCTCGATCTGACATACACCCCTCCCCCCCGTGGCCCTTTCCCCTCCCCCACAGACTTACCTGCACATATACACTCAGCCCCCAAAATAATCTTAATATAAAGGGGTACATGAGCTGAAACTGAGACAGAAGCAGTACACTTGTTAAAAAAGCTTGAAAACCCCTGAAGTAGAAGCTCCAGCATGATAAACATTACACTTCAAGTAATACCAGAACAAATCTGGAATCACCTAATTGACCTTAGTTGAGTTACTCCAAATTTATATCTGTGCAAGTATATGAGAGCAGGATCTGACACTATGTTAGGCAAATATAAAAAGGTCTGACCTGTGTTCTTTGACAACAAGAAATATACATGCATAAACAGTTTCACCACACTACTGGTTTTGCCACCCCCATTTTAAAAATAGGGAATCTCTCTGGTATAAAAGTAGTTTGTTTCTAGCAGCTGAAGCTTAAGTTCACCCAACGTATTTGGTGTATGATATCCAAACAGAATTTGTTTTCTATGTAAACATGCATGCAGCTCTGCGCAAATACTCACGGTACCCAAGCTGAGAAACAATAAAGCTGTACTCTTCAACATTATGGATACTCGCCAAATCTCCATCCTCCTTCCTACAAAAAGTTAGGGCATCTTTCCATATTTTGAGGTCTTTGTGAATTAGGTAACAGTGACCCGCATATGACATCCATTGAGTAGGACACGTAATAGGCATATCAGTCTCTGAAATAAAAGCAATAGTGAAAAGTTTCAGAAAGAAAGAAAAGTTTATTTTCATTTGTTGAGCACATCTGTCTGATATTTTGTGCTGCACTTGTGGTAAAAAAAAACAAGACTAAATGAGAACAAATGAACTAAAATATTTTTTTAAATGTGAACATAAATAAAAAAATATATCCCAAAACACCACATTGATGAGATTACAGAGTAAGTGATCAAAGCTAAGGAAATGCCATAATTAAAGAAGTCTGCACACCTTTAATTCAGCATCTTTTTGTGTATTTGGATATGGTCTTTAATAAACCAGCTCTTTAAGTTAATTTCTCCCATGCATTTCTCACTTTTCAACAATCAAATCAGAATTTCTCTTTATCTTCTATATTGCTTGACCCATCCTGAGGGGCTAGTTCTCAAAAACTGTATGCATGTGAGTAAATTCACTCCTGCATTTAAATATGTTATATGAGCCCCATACGTCAGCTTAGAAGAGATAAGTTGCTCTCTTGCAACAAGGGAAAAAACAAAGAATTAAATTATTCCTTTAGGAATCCTTTATAAAGAATCCACTAAGAAAATTGGGCACCAAAAGCAAATAACATGTTTTTAATGGTTTCTAAACTCATTAAATGAAACAGCACTAGAGAATTGTCAGTCCTCCTGTTCAGTAAACTCCATAATACAACTGAGTTTTAGGGGGGCAACCCATCAAAAAGTCATAATAAACAGAATGTAAATATTTAGAAAACAGTTATGATTTTGGTTGCACAGAATTTATCATTTTCATACCTTTTAGCAAAAACAAAATTCTGTAGACTAAAACAAGAGCAGCAGACTTCTAGAAATTCCAAGAAGACTTTGCCAGAGTTCCAAGATTTTATAATGTATATTGCTCTGTAGGAGAGGGGATGTGTTCAGCAGAAGAATCAAGAGGTCATACTCTGAAAATAACTCATTGGGCACTGACAGCTATGACCAACTAATCCCAGGTTGTAACTACTAATCCAGTTTCAGGTATGATGGTTTAGACAAGTAATAATCCTGCCTTGAACAAGGAACTATATTAAATGGCCTCCTGAAGTCTCTTCCACCCCTACATTTCTGTGACTCTATAAAGCACAATGCTGATTACCATACAATTGCCATTAGAAAAACACACATTTATAGCTAGCTAATAAACATAGCCTGCAACTTTGTTGTAGGCCACTGAACATTTATCAGTGTATTTTTGCATACGTTGGATTCCAATTTTGGAAAATCTATAAAACTCATTCAACATCCCTTTCTCCATAACAGACATGTAGCTGTGATGATTTAGTCAGGAATGATCCTGCCTTCAGTGGGGGGCTGGACTAGATGACTTTGAAGTCCTTTCCAGCCTACTTCCCTATCATCCTATAGTCTTTGTTTTGCCAAATATTGAAAATGACTGCCAGCAGGTAAGTCTTGGATCCACATACAATCAAAGACCTCATTAAACTTGAGGAGTATGCCAAATACTCCTTTTTCAGACACAACAGAAGGAGGCTGGGAATTTACAGCTCAAGACACTAAAGCTGTCACACTGCTAGTTAAGATGATCTTAAACCCTGTACCTACTGACCATCTACATTAAAAATCCCTGAACTTGTAGCAAAACCCCCAGTTTTTCTTTTTTTTTTTTTAATTTTGAAATGCATTCCCACCCTTCCCCAACTCTCTCTGACTTTTTCTCTCCCTCTCTATTCCCTATAGATAAGTATGAGTAAGCTAAGACATAGAGTAAGCTAAGACATGGTATAAGCTTTAGCAATTTTATAGCAAGTTTTTTTTCCTTTCTCTCTCTTTCTTTGATCCACTGTTTTATATTGTATAATTATTATGTTTATATTGATTTTTACTGCGTGATTACTGTTTTACTGATTTTTACTGTTTTTTTTCTATTTATACTATATAATTTAGGCCTACATGTGTAAGATAGTAAAGTTAATGTCAAGTTATGTCAAGTTTCCATTTTGTATGTCAAGCCTCCATCTTGTGTCCTCTCCCCAGGTGTAACCTATGACTCAGTCTCATGTAAATTGGTTCCTGAGTGAATGGGGATGAATGAGGGTGCTTGAGATACAATGGTAGCAGGCCTCTACTGAATAATCAGCTCAACGACTGGACCATCAGCTCAATGACCCAACCATCACTCTGCATTGACCCTCCCTTGCTCAAGATTTGGAAGACAAAGACTGCTGCAGAAACCTGCAGGAACCCACCATTTCAGACACCTGAAACTGCATGTCCTAGCCTGGAGTGCACATGCTCAGTACACCAGGGGCTGATCCTTGCCTGGGCATGCCCCTGCCACTAGGGTCATAGAAGATCTTCCCCTATAAAAGGGGGCAGTGAAGACAGACCCAGTGAGACACCCTCTCTAATATGGACTAGCACCATGCCACACCACCTATTCACCCAGAGGCCTTACCAGCGATAGCCTCTGGACAACACCTTGCTGGAGAAGACCCCAACTGGCCAATGAGGATCAACTCACAGCCCAGGATAGGTAGCTATCACCCATCTCCCTTCCCCAAACAAAGGACCTGGACTGTGTCCCTACCCACCTTGACTTCAATTCCTCCACCAATTCTTTTTCTCTCCTGCTACCATTGTGTGTGTGTACACGTGAGTGCCTGTTCATGTGTGTGTGTGTGTCTGTAGGAACCAATAACTTTGTGGGGCTGTGTGGTGGGTTGTCTATTTAATAAACCTGTTATTTTGAAACCCCAAGTTAGGTTTTTGTCTTATTGACCTCCTAACCCTCCCTCCTTGATTCGCCAGCTATCTCCCAGCTTTCTGCCTGTTTCCTCGCTCAGTCTCCCAGCTTTCTGCTTCTTTGTTTCCTGCCTGTTTCCTCCTTTCCACCACTTATCTGCTGCCCGATCTCCCAGCTTTCTGCCTTTCGGTTTCCAGCCCCCCACCCTGATCTCCCAGCTTTCTGCCTCTTTGTTTCCCAGCTGTCTCCTCCTTGCCACTGGGCTTTTTCCCTTGCTTCTACCCTGGCACCAGGTGACCCCGAGTAGCCACAGGGCACATTAACCCTAAGTAACCCCAAACCCCAGTGACCTCAAGGAACTATGGGGCCACTTGACCTTAAGTAACCCCAGCTTCCCCTCCAGTCTGCTGGTTCTAATCCTGGCCCCAACGACTTTCACTCATTTTTCCCTCTCTCATCTTAACCCCCATCCATCTCCCTCCTTACCCTCCTTCTGGAAATTTTGACCCTTGATTACCCCTCCCATAGTCACCAAGCACCCTAAGTACCCCAAGTACCCGCAGCGCACACATACGCACCATACCACCCAAGTCAGGAACTCATGTGTGTGTATGTGTAGGTGTGTGGTGTGTGTGTGAACTGGCAAATATATCGTCGTGTGTGGTATACAAATTAGTAATCTGTTTATGTGTATTGAGTGTGTGAGTATTGACAACTGATTTTTGTCTATTTTTTGGTGTGTATAGTGTGTATGTGCTTGAATTGGTGATAAGAGTACATGTGCTTAGACTAATAATCTTGGATGTTGTATGTGCCCAGGGTATGCGCATGCACCTAATTGATTTTTGTGTGTATATATGTGCAATAGGGTCACTCCCTCCTGTCTAACAGTGCAATTTTGAGATCCTGAGAGTTGGCCTGACCCAACAGAAAAACAAACTCAATCCCTGGTACCAGTCAAGCCCTCCTCCTAGTCTACACTTATATTCAACATTTGGAACTCAGCCAGGCTTGAATGATCGTTAACAGTGGAAATCAACCAGAAACGATCCCACTTCTTCCTGATGCTCCTTCAGCAACTTTTTTGCCCTGTTGCACTTTACTAATTATATGGAGTAAGGACAGAAAGTATCTGCAGACAAATTCTTAGAATTTCCCATGCTAATATAGACAACTTTGCAAGGTGCTGAACTTTTGCTTTACTACATGGGCCAAAAAGCCAAACAAGACTTAAGATAATTAAGATGTGCACAAGCAAGACAAGTCAGCATGTAGAAGTCCTAGTCCCAGACGGCATATTCTACATTTGACTATGATTCATAGATTCATAGATTCATAGATTAAGGGTCGG